CCTCACACGGGGCAGTTCTTTTGACACTATGCTGACGTCCAGTGAGGTTATTGTAGCTTGTTATTTGTGGGTGGTAGCCTCTGACAGTTATGACCTATACAAGCCCCCCTTATTTTTACTTCATGTTGCTTTTAACTTTAAAATTGATCATAAAATCAAATAGCACAAGTCTTTACTCACTACAGAGACCATGGCTCATGATCCAGATAACTGTCAAACATAGTGCTTGTTTCAAATTAAACACATACCAAGTCTTGTGACTTATGGGACATCTTTTTGTGATAAATGGCCAAAGCTTCTCACTCTATGTTCCCATCATTTCCATTTTCAACCAAACTATCATGATTCTGGAGATTGTGCATTATGGTCTCAATTGATTGCTCACATAGGGCCAGTGGCGCAATGGATAACGCGTCTGACTACGGATCAGAAGATTCTAGCTTCAACTCCTGGCTGGCTCGATGTAACCTATGGTGACTCCGTCTTACCATAGCTGGTTCAATGCAAGCCTGACATTGCATTGTAACTTCAAACCATTGTTGTGGTCTTGACTGGAAGCCTTTTTTGTTCATGGAAATGCTTCATTATTTCAATTTTTAATTGAATTACTCTTTTGTTTTTGACTGCCTAGAAAAATGCAAATGAAAGCCAAATACAAAGCTGAAAGATTGCATCGTAGCCTAGAGACATTGGGTCGGGATGTGTTTCACTGACTTTTGGAAATAACCAGTAACGTGATCACAAGAAGCCCACCCAGGCAAACTGAACGATGCATAATATTTTGTTGTTCTGGGACGTAAAACGTTGCACCAGAAGGTCTATACTGGCCTCGTTGGCGCAGTAGGTAGCGCGTCAGTCTCATAATCTGAAGGTCGTGAGTTTGACCCTCACACGGGACAGTTCTTTTGACACTATGCTGACGTCCAGTGAGGTTATTTTAGGTTGTTATTTGTGGGTGGTAGCCTCTGACAGTTATGACCTATACAAGCCCCCCTTATTTTTACTTCATGTTGCATTTAACTTTAAAATTGATCACAAAATCAAATAGCACAAGTCTTTACTCACTACAGAGACCATGGCTCATGATCCAGATAACTGTCAAACCTAGTGCTTGTTTCAAATTAAACACATACCAAGTCTTGTGACTTATGGGACATATTTTTGTGATAAATGGCCAAAGCTTCTCACTCTATGTTCCCATCATTTCCATTTTCAACCAAACTATCATGATTCTGGAGACTGTGCATTATGGTCTCAATTGATTGCGCACATAGGGCCAGTGGCGCAATGGATAACGCGTCTGACTACGGATCAGAAGATTCTAGGTTCAACTCCTGGCTGTCTCGATGTAACCTATATTTACTCCGTCTTACCATAGCTGGTTTAATTCAAGCCTGACATTGCATTGTAGCTTCAAACCATTGTTGTGGTCTTGACTGGAAGCCGCTTTTGTTTTTGTTCATGGAAATCCTTCATTCTTTCAATTTTCAAAAGAATTACTCTTTTGTTTTTGACTGTCTAGAAAAATGCAAATGAAAGCCAAATACAAAGCTGAAAGATTGCATCGTAGCCTAGAGACATTGGGTCGGGATGTGTTTCACTGACTTTTGGAAATAACCAGTAACGTGATCACAAGAAGCCCACCCAGGCACATTGAACGATGCATAATATTTTGTTGTTCTGGGACGTAAAACGTTGCACCAGCAGGTCTATCCTGGCCTCGTTGTTGCAGTAGGTAGCGCGTCAGTCTCATAATCTGAAGGTCGTGAGGTCGACCCTCACACGGGGCACTTCTTTTGACACTATGCTGACGTCCAGTGAGGTTATTGTAGCTTGTTATTTGTGGGTGGTAGCCTCTGACAGTTATGACCTATACAACCTCCCCTTAGTTTTACTTCATGTTGCTTTTAACTTTAAAATTGATCACAAAATCAAATAGCACAAGTCTTTACTCACTACAGAGACCATGGCTCATGATCCAGATAACTGTCAAACATAGTGCTTGTTTCAAATTAAACACATACCAAGTCTTGTGACTTATGGGACATCTTTTTGTGATAAATGGCCAAAGCTTCTCACTCTATGTTCCCATCATTTCCATTTTCAACCAAACTATCATGATTCTGGAGACTGTGCATTATGGTCTCAATTGATTGCTCACATAGGGCCAGTGGCGCAATGGATAACGCGTCTGACTACGGATCAGAAGATTCTAGGTTCAACTCCTGGCTGGCTCGATGTAACCTATATTGACTCCGTCTTACCATAGCTGGTTCAATTCAAGCCTGACATTGCATTGTAACTTCAAACCATTGTTGTGGTCTTGACTGGAAGCCGCTTTTGTTTTTGTTCATGGAAATCCTTCATTCTTTCAATTTTCAAAAGAATTACTCTTTTGTTTTTGACTGTCTAGAAAAATGCAAATGAAAGCCAAATACAAAGCTGAAAGGTTGCATCGTAGCCTAGAGACATTGGGTCGGGATGTGTTTCACTGACTTTTGGAAATAACCAGTAACGTGATCACAAGAAGCCCACCCAGGCACATTGAACGATGCATAATATTTTGTTGTTCTGGGACGTAAAACGTTGCACCAGCAGTTCTATCCTGGCCTCGTTGGCGCAGTAGGTAGCGCGTCAGTCTCATAATCTGAAGGTCGTGAGTTCGACCCTCACACGGGGCACTTCTTTTGACACTATGCTGACGTCCAGTGAGGTTATTGTAGCTTGTTATTTGTGGGTGGTAGCCTCTGACAGTTATGACCTATACAACCTCCCCTTAATTTTACTTCATGTTGCTTTTAACTTTAAAATTGATCACAAAATCAAATAGCACAAGTCTTTACTCACTACAGAGACCATGGCTCATGATCCAGATAACTGTCAAACATAGTGCTTGTTTCAAATTAAACACATACCAAGTCTTGCGACTTATGGGACATCTTTTTGTGATGAATGGCCAAAGCTTCTCACTCTATGTTCCCATCATTTCCATTTTCAGCCAAACTATCATGATTCTGGAGATTGTGCATTGTGGTCTCAATTGATTGCTCACATAGGGCCAGTGGCGCAATGGATAACGTGTCTGACTACGGATCAGAAGATTCTAGGGTTAACTCCTGGCTGGCTCGATGTAACCTATGGTGACTCTGTCTTACCATGGCTGATTCAATGCAAGCCTGACATAGCATTGTATCTTCAAACCATTGTTGTGGTCTTGACTGGAAGCCGCTTTTGTTTTTGTTCATGGAAATCCTTCATTCTTTCAATTTTTAAAATAATTACTCTTTTGTTTTTGACTGTCTAGAAAAATGCAAATGAAAGCCAAATACAAAGCTGAAAGATTGCATCGTAGCCTAGAGGCATTGGGTCGGGATGTGTTTCACTGACTTTTGGAAATAACCAGTAACGTGATCACAAGAAGCCCACCCAGGCACATTGAACAATGCATAATATTTTGTTGTTCTGGGACGTAAAACGTTGCACCAGCAGGTCTATCCTGGCCTCGTTGGCGCAGTAGGTAGCGCGTCAGTCTCATAATCTGAAGGTCGTGATTTCGACCCTCACACGGGGCACTTATTTTGACACTATGCTGACGTCCAGTGAGGTTATTGTAGCTTGTTATTTGTGGGTGGTAGCCTCTGACAGTTATGACCTATACAAGCTCCCCTTAGTTTTACTTCATGTTGCTTTTAACTTTAAAATTGATCACAAAATCAAATAGCACAAGTCTTTACTCACTACAGAGACCATGGCTCATGATCCAGATAACTGTCAAACATAGTGCTTGTTTCAAATTAAACACATACCAAGTCTTGTGACTTATGGGACATCTTTTTGTGATAAATGGCCAAAGCTTCTCACTCTATGTTCCCAAACTATCATGATTCTGGAGATTGTGCATTATGGTCTCAATTGATTGCTCACATAGGGCCAGTGGCGCAATGGATAACGCGTCTGACTACGGATCAGAAGATTCTAGGTTCAACTCCTGGCTAGCTCGATGTAACCTATGGTGACTCCGTCTTACCATAGCTGGTTCAATGCAAGCCTGACATTGCATTGTAAAGCCTGGTTTATGCTTCTCCGTCAGATCCGCAAGGGACAGACACGCACGGATTGACGGAAGCGTTTTGCGCTTTTACTTCTCCGTCTCCTGGGGAGTGTTGCAAAGCAATTGCCTGACAGGACCACAGAGGGCGTAGCGCTGTTCTGTGGTATCCTGTCATGTATTGGTCCACGATCGTGTGTTTATATTGTGTTTTTTGTGTATATAAGAGACTTTTAACACGGACGTATTTGTCTCTCATTCTCCCACCGCTTCATGCGCTCCCCACCTCTAAACCCACGTTTCCTGTCATTTCCATCCACAAATAAAACGCTTGCTGCGCATCTTTTCACTCCTCCAGTCACGGGAGAATTAAACGTTCATATTTTTAGAGTTTTTTTCGCGAGGTATTCTTCAAGCTTCTCCGTGTCTGCCGCTAGTTATCCTCGGCTCTCTTTGCAATGGCGGCGCTGTAAACAACAGCGGCATCCTGACCAATCACAAGCTTGCGTAATCCGTCTCGTTCGACGGATGTTTAAAAAAGTGGGCTCGACTCCGTACGTACTTGCGTGCCTGCCGGAGCCCTACGCAAGGACGGATAATGGCGTTGCGTGTCTCCGCACTGACGCAGACGGAGAAGCATAAATCAGGCTTAACTTCAAACCATTGTTGTGGTCTTGACTGGAAGCTGTTTTTGTTCATGGAAATGCTTCATTCTTTCAATTTTTAAAAGAATTACTCTTTTGTTTTTGACTGTCTAGAAAAATGCAAATGAAAGCCAAATACAAAGCTGAAAGATTGCATCGTAGCCTAGAGACATTGGGTCGGGATGTGTTTCACTGACTTTTGGAAATAACCAGTAACGTGATCACAAGAAGCCCACCCAGGCACATTGAGCAATGCATAATATTTTGTTGTTCTGGGACGTAAAACGTTGCACCAGCAGGTCTTTCCTGGCCTCGTTGGCGCAGTAGGTAGCGCGTCAGACTCATAATCTGAAGGTCGTGAGTTCGACCCTCACATGGGTCACTTCTTTTGACACTATGCTGACGTCCAATAAGGTTATTGTAGCTTGTTATTTGTGGGTGGTAGCCTCTGACAGTTATGACCTATACAAGCTCCCCTTAGTTTTACTTCATGTTGCTTTTAACTTTAAAATTGATCACAAAATCAAATAGCACAAGTCTTTACTCACTACAGAGACCATGGCTCATGATCCAGATAACTGTCAAACATAGTGCTTGTTTCAAATTAAACACATACCACGTCTTGTGACTTATGGAACATCTTTTTGTGATAAATGGCCAAAGCTTCTCACTCTATGTTCCCATCATTTCCATTTTCAACCAAACTATCATGATTCTGGAGACTGTGCATTATGGTCTCAATTGATTGCTCACATACGGCCAGTGGCGCAATGGATAACGCGTCTGACTACGTATCAGAAGATTCAAGGTTCAACAACTGGCTGGCTCGATGTAACCTATATTGACTCCATCTTACCAAAGCTGGTTCAATTCAAGCCTGACATTGCATTGTAACTTCAAACCATTGTTGTGGTCTTGACTGGAAGCCGCTTTTGTTTTTGTTCATGGAAATCCTTCATTCTTTCAATTTTCAAAAGAATTACTCTTTTGTTTTTGACTGTCTAGAAAAATGCAAATGAAAGCCAAATACAAAGCTGAAAGATTGCATCGTAGCCTAGAGACATTGGGTCGGGATGTGTTTCACTGACTTCTGGAAATATCCAGTAACATGATCACAAGAAGCCCACCCAGGCACATTGAACGATGCATAATATTTTGTTGTTCTGGGACGTAAAACGTTGCACCAGCAGGTCTATCCTGGCCTCGTTGGCGCAGTAGGTGGCGCGTCAGTCTCATAATCTGAAGGTCGTGAGTTCGACCCTCACACGGGGCACTTCTTTTGACACTATGCTGACGTCCAGTGAGGTTATTGTAGCTTGTTATTTGTGGGTGGTAGCCTCTGACAGTTATGACCTATACAAGCTCCCCTTAGTTTTACTTCATGTTGCTTTTAACTTTAAAATTGATCACAAAATCAAATAGCACAAGTCTTTACTCACTACAGAGACAATGGCTCATGATCCAGATAACTGTCAAACATAGTGCTTGTTTCAAATTAAACACATACCAAGTCTTGCGACTTATGGGACATCTTTTTGTGATAAATGGCCAAAGCTTCTCACTCTATGTTCCCATCATTTCCATTTTAAGCCAAACTATCATGATTCTGGAGATTGTGCATTATGGTCTCAATTGATTGCTCACATAGGGCCAGTGGCGCAATGGATAACGTGTCTGACTACGGATCAGAAGATTCTAGGTTCAACTCCTGGCTGGCTCGATGGAACCTATATTGACTCCGTCTTACCATAGCTGGTTCAATTCAAGCCTGACATTGCATTGTAACTTCAAACCATTGTTGTGGTCTTGACTGGAAGCTGTTTTTGTTCATGGAAATGCTTCATTCTTTCAATTTTTAAAAGAATTACTCTTTTGTTTTTGACTGTCTAGAAAAATGCAAATGAAAGCCAAATACAAAGCTGAAAGATTGCATCGTAGCCTAGAGACATTGGGTCGGGATGTGTTTCACTGACTTTTGGAAATAACCAGTAACGTGATCACAAGAAGCCCACCCAGGCACATTGAACAATGCATAATATTTTGTTGTTCTGGGACGTAAAACGTTGCACCAGCAGGTCTATCCTGGCCTCGGTGGCGCAGTAGGTAGCGCGTCAGTCTCATAATCTGAAGGTCGTGAGTTCGACCCTCACACGGGGCACTTCTTTTGACACTATGCTGACGTCCAGTGAGGTTATTGTAGCTTGTTATTTGTGGGTGGTAGCCTCCGACAGTTATGACCTATACAAGCTCCCCTTATTTTTACTTCATGTTGCTTTTAACTTTAAAATTGATCACAAAATCAAATAGCACAAGTCTTTACTCACTACAGAGACCATGGCTCATGATCCAGATAACTGTCAAACATAGTGCTTGTTTCAAATTAAACACATACCAAGTCTTGCGACTTATGGGACATCTTTTTGTGATAAATGGCCAAAGCTTCTCACTCTATGTTCCCATCATTTCCATTTTCAGCCAAACTATCATGATTCTGGAGATTGTGCATTATGGTCTCAATTGATTGCTCACATAGGGCCAGTGGCGCAATGGATAACGCGTCAGAAAATTCTAGGTTCAACTCCTGGCTGGCTCGATGTAACCTATGGTGACTCCGTCTTACCATAGCTGGTTCAATGCAAGCCTGACATAGCATTGTAACTTCAAACCAATGTTGTGGTCTTGACTGGAAGCCGCTTTTGTTCATGGAAATGCTTCATTCTTTCAATTTTTAAAAGAATTACTCTTTTGTTTTTGACTGTCTAGAAAAATGCAAATGAAAGCCAAATACAAAGCTGAAAGATTGCATCGTAGCCTAGAGACATTGGGTCGGGATGTGTTTCACTGACTTTTGGAAATAACCAGTAACGTGATCACAAGAAGCCCACCCAGGCACATTGAACAATGCATAATATTTTGTTGTTCTGGGACGTAAAACGTTGCACCAGCAGATCTATCCTGGCCTCGTTGGCGCAGTAGGTAGCGCGTCAGTCTCATAATCTGAAGGTCGTGAGTTCGACCCTCACACGGGGCACTTCTTTTGACACTATGCTGACGTCCAGTGAGGTTATTGTAGCTTGTTATTTGTGGGTGGTAGCCTCTGACAGTTATGACCTATACAAGCTCCCCTTATTTTTACTTCATGTTGCTTTTAACTTTAAAATTGATCACAAAATCAAATAGCACAAGTCTTTACTCACTACAGAGACCATGGCTCATGATCCAGATAACTGTCAAACATAGTGCTTGTTTCAAATTAAACACATACCAAGTCTTGTGACTTATGGAACATCTTTTTGTGATAAATGGCCAAAGCTTCTCACTCTATGTTCCCATCATTTCCATTTTCAGCCAAACTATCATGATTCTGGAGATTGTGCATTATGGTCTCAATTCATTGCTCACATAGGGCCAGTGGCGCAATGGATAACGCGTCTGACTACGGATCAGAAGATTCTAGGTTCAACTCCTGGCTGGCTCGATGTAACCTATGGTGACTCCGTCTTACCAAAGCTGGTTCAATGCAAGCCTGACATTGCATTGTAACTTCAAACCATTGTTGTGGTCTTGACTGGAAGCTGTTTTTGTTCATGGAAATGCTTCATTCTTTCAATTTTTAAAATAAGACTCTTTTGTTTTTGACTGTCTAGAAAAATGCAAATGAAAGCCAAATACAAAGCTGAAAGATTGCATCGTAGCCTAGAGACATTGGGTCGGGATGTGTTTCACTGACTTTTGGAAATAACCAGTAACGTGATCACAAGAGGCCCACCCAGGCACATTGAACGATGCATAATATTTTGTTGTTCTGGGACGTAAAACGTTGCACCAGCAGGTCTATCCTGGCCTCGTTGGCGCAGTAGGTAGCGCGTCAGTCTCATAATCTGAAGGTCGTGAGTTCGACCCTCACACGGGGCACTTCTTTTGACACTATGCTGACGTCCAGTGAGGTTATTGTAGCTTGTTATTTGTGGGTGGTAGCCTCTGACAGTTATGACCTATACAACCTCCCCTTAATTTTACTTCATGTTGCTTTTAACTTTAAAATTGATCACAAAATCAAATAGCACAAGTCTTTACTCACTACAGAGACCATGGCTCATGATCCAGATAACTGTCAAACATAGTGCTTGTTTCAAATTAAACACATACCAAGTCTTGCGACTTATGGGACATCTTTTTGTGATGAATGGCCAAAGCTTCTCACTCTATGTTCCCATCATTTCCATTTTCAGCCAAACTATCATGATTCTGGAGATTGTGCATTGTGGTCTCAATTGATTGCTCACATATGGCCAGTTGCCCAATGGATAACGCGTCTGACTACGGATCAGAAGATTCTAGGTTCAACTCCTGGCTGGCTCGATGTAACCTATATTGACTCCGTCTTATCATAGGTGGTTAAATTCAAGCCTGACATTGAATCGTAACTTCAAACCATTGTTGTGGTCTTGCCTGGAAGCCGCTTTTGTTTTTGTTCATGGAAATCCTTCATTCTTTCAATTTTCAAAAGAATTACTCTTTTGTTTTTGACTGTCTAGAAAAATGCAAATGAAAGCCAAATACAAAGCTGAAAGATTGCATCGTAGCCTAGAGACATTGGGTCGGGATGTGTTTCACTGACTTTTGGAAATAACCAGTAACGTGATCACAAGAAGCCCACCCAGGCACATTGAACAATGCATAATATTTTGTTGTTCTGGGACGTAAAACGTTGCACCAGCAGGTCTATCCTGGCCTCGTTGGCGCAGTAGGTAGCGCGTCAGTCTCATAATCTGAAGGTCGTGAGTTCGACCACCTCATGGGGCTCTTCTATTGACACTATGCTGATGTCCAGTGAGGTTATTGTAGCTTGTTATTTGTGGGTGGTAGCCTCTGACAGTTATGACCTATACAAGCTCCCCTTAGTTTTACTTCATGTTGCTTTTAACTTTAAAATTGATCACAAAATCAAATAGCACAAGTCTTTACTCACTACAGAGACCATGGCTCATGATCCAGATAACTGTCAAACATAGTGCTTGTTTCAAATTAAACACATACCAAGTCTTGCGACTTATGGGACATCTTTTTGTGATAAATGGCCAAAGCTTCTCACTCTATGTTCCCATCATTTCCATTTTCAGCCAAACTATCATGATTCTGGAGATTGTGCATTATGATCTCAATTCATTGCTCACATAGGGCCAGTGGCGCAATGGATAACGCGTCTGACTACGGATCAGAAGTTTTCTAGGTTCTACTCCTGGCTGGCTCGATGTAACCTATGGTGACTCCGTCTTACCATAGCTGGTTCAATGCAAGCCTGACATTGCATTGTAAATTCAAACCATTGTTGTGGTCTTGACTGGAAGCTGTTTTTGTTCATGGAAATGCTTCATTCTT